AATCCACTTCTGACTGCTGCACTCAGCATTCCCCAGGTGGCTGAGACCCTTTCAATAGTGCTTCTATTAGGAAACAAGCTACAGTAGATCAGTAGCACCAGTTCCAAATTTAGTATTTTTAATTCCTCTGACAACAGCAAACCAATGCTGAGAGTGCATAAAGCACTGAAAAAAATCACTGGTGAGTGAAGAGCAATGAGAGCTGCTCTCCTGAATAAAAAGTAATGTGTATCTCAGGACAACTACACAACCCCTTTAAAAGTTTCTGTTTGTTTCCTTGAATAGAAAATTCTCTCTGCTGTGTTTTCTCTCTTCTCAGTCTGCATTGACCTAGGCATACTTACCAGACTGAAGCAAGGGGGATGATCAGTTAAGGTAATAATCATAATTTAATAATGGCATCTGTTCAGTAATACAGTATGAAAAAACAATGTCTATTTAAGGTAAAACAAGTCACATTTGGATGACCTCTGTCCAAACTCAAATTCCAAAGCAGAAATCTGTGTGCTGGCCAACAGTATAAAGATCCTGGGATGTAAACACATTCATTTTATTTTCATGACCAAAACAAAAAAGCTATGTAACACTTAGTAATGACAATTTATCCCAACTTTAAATCTCACAACCAGAATAGATGATTTTATAGACTACAACCACTGCGAGTAACTGCTACGCTTGCAAAATAAATAAACAATGCACAAGGCCAGGTATAAAGAAACAAACCCTAACAAAACCAAGAGCTAAACTAGGTATTAATTGTCATCACTCAGGAGGCCAGTTGTGGGTAAATACTGTACCAGGATTGAGAACAGTAAACATTCCCTTGTTGCCAGACAACTTTCTCAAAAGAAGATGGAAAAAATAACTTATTAAAATATGATGTACTGAAGTTCAATTATAAATCTACAGAAGTGATTAATGAGGAGAAAAATGTTAAAAGAAACAGTTGTAAATGGAAACTGCATATCATTGCTACTGGCTTTTCAACTGCAAGATCCATTAAAAGAGAAAGCAAATAGCAGAAGTAGCCTGGTGAAAGATCTATACATCCAAGAGCCTGTTTGCTTTCTCAGTGATATCACCTAGTCAAATAAAAGATACTATCTCTCCCAGAAACTGTTCTTTTACATCCCTAAAATATCAGAGATATAACGAAGTTAAGAAAATAAATACTGTTTAAAGGCTTAGGTAATTTGTTAAACATTCTAGATATACAGTAACCTGAAAAAGAGAGTTGAAAAATGTACTGACAAATAACTGCAATAATTTTACTGTAAATAATGACTTTACATTGCATCCCACCTGTGAACTGTTGTTCAGAAGCACTTCTGTCAAAACAATGACTCAGGTTCTTTGGGACTTGCTCCTAAACCAATGGTTTGGCATTCTCACAAACTTATTTTAGTAGATTAAACAGCAATGACAGTCAAGATACGGCACATCATTTTGCCTTAAAATATCTGAATTAAATATGAATTAAGCATGCAGAAAAATCTGATTTTTGCATCTGCAGTGACATCTAGTGCAAGAAAACAAAACCACATTTAAACAGGTTTCTAGAGAAGCTATTATCATTTATTGTGTGATTTCTGACTGAGACAGATGAGAACAATTCACATCAGCACTTTTAAAACTTTCTTAGTATCTTGTCTTCTGCACAACATTCACAAGCCAGCTGAAGGGAATCCTATTAAGCATAATATGTTAATAAGAGACTATTTAATTCAAATGTGCATTTTTGCTCTCCATATGAATTCAGTTTGATAAATATACGTATATTACGTAATTGTTGGAGGGCAAACAATTGTTGAAAAAGCAAACGTCCCTAGGAACAGAGCTGTGATTCTATTTATTCTACCAAATTTTCTAAAAGAAAACAAATTCAGCAGTAGCATCTGACCTAAATTACTTCTGCCAGCTCCACGGATATGCTATCCTATTTTAATTTTGCAGTCATTTTTAAGCCTCTTCCTTAAAAAGTCAAGATGACACAGTTTGTAGAAAGGAAACAGAAACTGGAAGCACACAATGAGTGTTGTCTAATACAGATGACAAATACAAGTCACTAAATATCAAATGAACTTTGTTCCAATGAAAAAGTACAGATTTAAGTCTCCCATTAAAAGTACAGTTATGCTTCTAACACAGCCAACAACAGACATTCTAACCAAAATGCAACACCAACACGTCTAACTAGCAACACTTTAACAAAAATGACTCACTGAAATGTGAAAAATCTTTAGAAACAAGTGTTATTCCTGCCAAACACACAAATAAACACATCTGCCAAAGCTGAAAATGTACAGTTTAAATACAGTATCATGCATATATCGTTCTATATATAAATGCACACCATTCCTGTAACTCTCTTTTTTCATTCAACCTGTAAGCACAACCATTTTAGGACCTGTGTTTCAAAGGCGTGTGTCCAGAAGTCTGAAGAAGTCACAGGTACTTTTTAAAGGCAGGATCAAAGCCTACATTGGTGTCTCTTGTAAAAACTTTGTAACATGCAACTTTCCAATACCCAACTTAACCAATGGTAAAATAACGAACATGATACAAATATCAACCTATGGTTTATTGTTCATCACAAATTTATATATATAAAACATATACATATATAAACACAAAACCCAAGCTATTCATTAGTAATCTAGGACAACTACATTACACATCAGGTTCCTAATGTTCTAGCAATCTTACTATGGAATAGGCACAAAACCCGCACGATTTTATTGGTTGCCGAAGGCACTGAACAGGGAAGTGTCACAACTACAGATTTTTGGACAAGAAGTGCATGCCATGACTAATGAACTACTACCATTACTTGTGATGTGGTAAGTGCTTTTAAGAAGTTCTGTAGTTTGTCCTTCAGGAACCCAAGAGCTTGCACAGCTGCACAGCTTCTGTACTCTGCAGCCATCAAAGGTGGATTTAGTAGACACAAGAATTTTATGTGAAAGTAGCAGGTGTTAACTGTGTGCAGTTTTCACCGGAGGACTGAGTATGTTAAAACAACGACATGACAGAATGAAGAAAACAAATGTTCTTTGGAGGGTAAAGTACTGAGGTAGAACACAAAGCAAGTGAGAAGAGAGAAAGCAGTCAAGCAAGTCAAGGTTAATAGGAAGTAATAAAATAGTATAAAACAGGAAAATGGTGATGTATGCCCAGCCTTACAGGCAGAAGAACCGAAATAAAAGTGTATAAATACTATTCAGCAACTATGGTTTAAAAATTATCTGGAAATGCAAATAAATGTAGACCAATGAAGTGTTTTTAAGTCTTTTATATTTAGCTATTTATCAAATGCAGCTTTCCCTTGTTAATACGAATTGTTCAGTTCACTCCTCGTCCAATTCTGTAATTTCTGTGGAAGAATCCATGCATTTCCAATACTAAACTTTAAAGACTTCCCATATGCTACATCATGTTCACATTCACAATTGACCAAAATTCACAAATTCTCCACATGACAAAGAACTCCCCAATCCAGACCTGAGTAAACAGAGGATTAATAAAGTTCTATGTACATCTAGATGCTTCAAAGTAACAAAATAATACAGAAATAATGTAAAATTGGACACAAAACATCTCTGAAGAACATGCAAATAGCAATTTTCAGTTCAGCATCTGGACAAACGTTAAACAGTCCATTCTGTCATGCCATCTGCTAGGCAGTTACCAACCCTGCTCTATTCTCTATGCTATTTCTGCTTTTTTTATAAGCATGAAACCATCCAAATTATTTGGAAGTCAGATAAAAGACACAGTGATGAACTTAAAAAAAAAAATGGAAACAAAAAGTGATACATAGCAAAAATCAACTACAAAAATCAAGTTTCAGATCAGTGATACAGAGAATTAAAAAATTACTTCTAAATGCTCGCTTGAATTGCTCTCTAAACAAGTTTATGTTCAGCATATACAGCAAGTCACGAAAGCTTAAGCATTGTTTTCAAAATTTTTATTTAACAGAATATTTAAAAAAATTGGCAAAAAAATGTTAATCTATGTTATGGAAAAGAAATTGCAGAAATTACTACCCCACGTGTGTGCATGCACACAGGTGTGCTTGTATGTGTATATGGAATCATAAAGTAGCCTTCAAAATATCATCTTAATCATGAGCCAAATGCCAGCATGAAATGTTACCAGTACAACTGAACAGCAGGAAAGCACAGACACATGCAGAGAACACAAAAGCCTCAGTCTACATCATGCAAAAAACACAGCATGGAAAATCACCAAGCTGCCCCCTTCTATCTGTACTAAATCTACAAAACACAAGAGCGCACTGCGTGGATTTAACTGCTCCTGAAGTAGCGTGAAGTCATACAAAGTGCACAATGCAAGCCAGCTTATATGAACCAGCTGCAAAAATCCCTGTGCTTGGGAATCCAGAGCATACTTGGGTCAGAAGCATTTGTTTGGTGTGATGAAGATCTACTGGAGGAGATTTAACTGCAGAAATCGCACTGAATGTCATTTTTCAAGTTCACAAGCAATTTCTGACCAAAACGTGAATCTGCAGGCCAATGCAAGATCTATCCACTATGCACCACATTCATTGAGATACCTAATGTAACAAAGAATGTGATTATTCATAGGTCATCTTGATACAACACAAACACCAAGGGCATGAGGGATCCACTTGTGCTTGTCCCAGTTTTTTTTCACTTGCAACTCAGAAAAACATGCAGTATTTGAAAGATTTGCAAGACATAAGCTGTTTTGCACTGATGACACTATGGTGAAAAAAAGAAAGAGTTGTAGTCATTTTTAATTATTTAACATCCTATTAAAAAAAACCCAACTTTGCCTGAATATTTACTATTAAAACCTCTCAAAAACCAATTCTTTGGAATAAGCCAAAATAAGACGTAGAAAATTTTGTGTTATTAAAAAAAGGTGACTCAGAACAGGAATTTTTTTTGAAAAAAAAAAAAAATCTTAAGGCTAGTTCAAATGCCAAGTTGAAAATTTGTTTTCCTTACTTTCAGAATATCCTGAGTTTCATTCCACTTGTTTGTCCACTCTTTGGTTAGTTCTTGTACCTACAAAACAAAACAAATATTGGAAATAATCATATCTCTTCTGAAGTCCTTGATAAGGCATTCCCAGAGAAGTACTAAGCATTTGTGCAATTCTTTGTGAAGTTTAATACTTAAACATCTAGAAGACCGCTGTTGCTCCCACAGTAAATGGTCATACCTACAATTTCTCTCTCTCGAAAAGGAAAATCACAAAATTCTTATTTATAGTACAAAATGAAACGAAGGACAGGGATAGTCACTTAAAATAATGGCAGGGATTTTCAAAGAAATGGAATAATCCCATTAAGTGCTTCATCAGTTCTACAAAGTCTGCTGCCACAGGTTGATCCCTCAGCTGTAACAAGACGACAGCTCCTTTCCTACAGCGCAGGTAGGCATGTCTACCTAGACTTCAGCAAGGCTTTCAACACAGCTTCCCATAACATCCTCCCAGGGAAGCTCAGGAAGTGTGGGCTGGATGAGCGGTCAGTGTGGTGGATTGAGAACTGGTTGAATGGCAGAACTCAGAGGGGTGTTATCAGCGGCGCTGAGTCTAGTTGGAGGCCGGTAACTAGTGGTGTTCCCCAGGGGTCAGTACTTGGCCCAGTCTTGTTTAACTTCTTCATCAATGACCTGGATGAAGAGTTAGAATGTACCCTCAGAAAGCTTGCTGATGACACCAAACTGGGAGGTGTGGCAGATACACCAGAAGGCTGTGCTGCCATTCTGCATGACCTGGACAGGCTGGAGAGTTGGGTGCAGAGGAACCTGATGAAGTTCAATAAGGGCAAGTGCAGGTTCCTGCTCCTGTGGAGGAATAACCCAATGCACCAGTACAGGCTTGGGGTGGACCTGCTGGAGAGCAGCTCTGTGGAGAGGGACCTGGGTGTCCTGGTGGACGACAGGTTCACTGTGAGCCAGCAGTGTGCCCTGGCTGCCAAGAAGGCCAATGGCATTCTGGGATGCATTAGGAGGAGTGTGGCCAGCAGGTTGAGGGAGGTTCTCCTTCCCCTCTACTCTGCCCTAGTGAGGCCTCATCTGGAATACTGCATCCAGTTCTGGGCTCCCCACTTCAAGAAAGATGAGGAGCTACTGAAAAGAGTCCAGCGGAGGGCTACGAGGATGATGAGGGGACCAGGTCATCTCTCCTATGAGGAAAGGCTGAGGGAGCTGGGCTTGTTCAACCTGAAGAAGAGAAGGCTGAGAGAGGACCTAATATATGCTTAGAAATATCTTCAGGGTGGGTGTCAGGAGGATGTGGCCAAACTCTTTTCAGTGGTGCCCAGTGACAGGACAAGGGGCAATGGGCACAAACTGAGGCAGGGGGGCTGGACTAGATGACACACATAGGTCCCTTCCAACCCCTACCATTCTGTGATTCTGTGATGTTGAGGCTAAAATACCCTCCAGAGAATGGCATGCAGAGGAAGAAGCAGACAGGCAGTCTTCAGGAGAGAATCAGAGCAAAGTTTGCTGCACCTTAGAAATCACACACTTGGTTGAAATCCGCAAATTAGTAAGAAGCTACTTGCAAAGGCATTACAGACAACGAGAGCACTGGGTATGAACACTTAGGTTTTGTCCCACTTGTCCTACTCATCTAGTTGTCCATATCATAAGTTAACTTTCATAGCCTCCACATCAGAAAAGGCTCTTTTCATTTCAGAGTCTTTCAGACTCTTTAGACGGCACTGCACAGAGGGTGCTTCAGGCAGATCCACCTCAAAGCTCTGGATGACTTGCAATCATAACCACATTAAATAGAATATATATACACACACACACTTTCATTTTTTAAATCATCAGATTTTTGTGCAGGAATTAAATACACATTTTTTAAAAACATACACAATCTTCTATTATTTGAATTCACTTCAACTGCAGAAAGCTGAAAAAAGAAACATCACAAAAAAACCCAGCTGCATCCCTGTATTACTTTACATATAAAATCACTGTACAAAAAAAATAAAAGGTCAGCAGTGCAGTTCCTCCAAACATCTTCATGTTTGCTACCTGCAGCCTACTGTCCCAGCAGACCAGCTGCAAATTAATCAATGGGAACCAAAGAAGCTTCTCTCAGCTCTACCTGTACCTCAAGCTTTCAACAGAGAAAAGTAAATACATCTTCCAATGCGTCATATCAGTCCTAGTGCTGCTAATCAGAATGTTAAAACAAGAAATCACTGAAAAGATTAAAGAAAAACACAGAGAAGGTCCATAAGAAGTCTATTCACCATACCAGAATAATTTCTATTCTTCAGAAATCATTTAAACATTGTTCTCATACAAGGACAAATCAACCCATTACAGAAAGCTACCATATATTTGTCCAATGATTTAAATACAGTGATAAAGTCTTTAGATCTGTATAAACAAATTAATCACTGCACTCGCTCAATTCTTAAAAAAAACTATAACCACTGCAATATCTACTCAGAATTTTCAGTAATTATGTCTCTTGTAATTACCATGAATAGTAATCACATAACCTTCTAATGAGGCTAATAAAAGATAGTCAAATATGCTCAATATACTCCCCATAAGAGAGGCCAATGCTTCTGAGCAGGACAAGCAGTGATTACTGTCAGAGCATAAGATACTCTAATTGGCATGTAGTCAGCAGTTTGTATTACTCAGCTACTCTTAGATAAAAACTTTACGTTTGTGCACAAAAATAACAGCATACTACACATACTAACAATATTATCATTCATCTCTGATTCAGCTAAAAAAAATTTTAAAATCTAATGAATACGAAAAAAAATAATTTGCAACTGAAGACTCATACTAACGTTATGCAGGTCCTACTTTAATTATTGAATACAACACAGTAAGGATTCTTGCATATATTATAGAGTTACAAAATGTGTTCCTAGCAGAAATTTGGCTTACGGAGAAGCCTGGAGTCTACTTTGCAGATATGGTCTACATAATACACATATTTCATCCATTTTTGATGTGAAGTTTATTTTTAAAGTATCATTTAATTGAAAAGTATTTCAAAATGTTTTTAAACTGGTATTACCAATGGGAATCCTGAAAAGTTCAGACAGATGCTGTACCAATTACTTAGGTCAAAACAGGATTCTCAAAGCAATGCATTCATTCTCTAACTGTAAAGGTCTAAGCAGCACCAGTGTAAACCTTACAATTTAAACCAGCTAAGAAGCCCCTATTTTTTAACAGCATCGTATCTACATTTGATTGGCATCTTGTTGACAATGTTCAGAACTAAAAATCTATTGCCATGTAGCTGAATGATTCCAAATACTTTCCTTTTCCAAAGTCTGAGTAATACTATTTTTTTAAAACAGTTTGCAGTAGCTTTAAAAACAGGCAAGTATATAGAAAAGAATTAATATAGAATGATAGAATAAAGAGTGAAAGATTGCAAATTAGAGAAATGAGAGTATCATTACAACTATATTCTTTCAGACCCTACAAGTATACCTAAATGGTCTGCAAGCATTTCCCAGCCTCCACACTGGGCTGGATTATTAAAACAACTTGGTGTGAGGCACACTATGAAGTACATCTAGATCTTAGACCCTCCCCAAAAAGGACAGCTAATTAGGTACTGAACATATTTGTACATACCAGATTTAAAGACTGAAATTTTCTTAAAATCTACCCCACAACATGTTATTAATTACGTGAAAACATAGAGAGCTGACGATTTTCCCCATAAATCTTTTACTGTATTCTCTACACACCAAATGCTTTGTTACTGTGATTACTGGTTACTAATTAGTCTGATTTAGTGGGTTTTCCATCTTTATTTACAAACATACTTTTTTAGTAAGGCAAGCTGGCCTGGGAACAAATACTTTCATTAAATAGAACTGCTATATAAACACTTAAGATACACTTTGCTCTTCGTTATAATGTTATCTCGCATAACACAAATTCACGCATAGGGTTTTTTTTTAAAAAAAAAAGGCACCAAGCTTTTTTTTCCAAGGTGGGAGAAAATTTAGTTGTGTATCAAAAAAAAAATCCTGAAAATTAACAACACTCTTGCATCCAGATCCCCCCTCCTTTCCTTTTTTTGGTTTAAAAAACGTTTTATGAAATTATAACTCACCCTTGCTTCATTCTGCTGAAGCTTTTCTTCCATACTTAAAGCTGTTGGAGAATCCAAAAGCGCGATCTAAAATCATAAAAAGTAACCTCATCAATTTTAAAAAAGGAAGAAAAAATAGTAACAATTTCCAGTGGATTCAAATGGAAGAAGTGAAATTGTTCAACTTTTATGATTATTTAGCAAGAGGCATTTTAAACTCCAATATACATCATTTTAGTTTGAAATACTGTAAACAGAGTAACCAAAATCTTGTCAAAGCAGATATTTCAAATACAGACCATTGGTTTGAGAGTACTATTTTCATTCACTAAGTATACACATGGTCACACTCATGCAGACATTGAAACAAGACATAAGTTTGTAACAGGTAATTCCTGATACATCTATTTTTATACTTCTGTTAAACATGAAAATTTATCATGCATCAATATTTAACCATTTTGCTATAATACATATGTATACCGCTTACCTTTAACAAATATATACTAAAGTAAGTGGCCTTCGAAAAGGAAAACTACTACACAACACGCACAAGTAATACTTGTTATGTGACCTACACTGAATCCAGCACTATATTTTGCTAACCAGTATCTTCAGTGATCTACAGTATTCTGGGAATATAAAGGGAAACCACAAAAGAAATTACACAGGGATTCATATTCTGTAGCATAAACGTAACACCACCTGCTGTCTTAGCAACCATCACAAATTCAATTAAGTTAGGCAAGTTCTCTATTGTCTCCCACACATCCTACAACTAAACGAGCTTTATTTTGTGATATCTCCACTCTTTTACAGCTTGGAACTGGCATTTCACACTGCACAGCCCATCTAAAATACAAACAGATAGTTCTAGAAATAAATCAGAATTTCAGATACTTCCAAATTCTATTTGGTCAAATACGAAATATAGCAGTCCCAAGTGATATCATTTAGAAGAGACAACTGGCCTGAGCCAATTGCCTATTCTTTATTGTTAGCTTGGTTTCACCATCCTGGAAATAGAAGAGAAATTAAGCCTAACTGCAAATCTTCATAGTGGCCAATACTGATAGGAGAACAAGAAAGAATTGTGCAAAACGGAAGTATAACATGACACATGTTTTCTTACACCACTACTGAAGATACTTGTACATATTTAGCATGTTACATGCTTTCTAATGAACTGTGCAGCCAAACACAAATAAAATGTATTTTTCAAACTCATCCATACCCCTACATTTTTATATTTATGCATCTTAAACACTTTATACCTTCTACTTCTTTTAAGATACTAAAGTACCTCTTCAGTCTATCAGGCTAGACCCAGGAAACATGTTGCTTCTCACTCTCCTGATGCTGTGGTGACTACCTGTTCCACAGCACACTGCAATCAAGCTTTGATTATATTAAGAGAAAGCAAAAAGCTTTAGGATGACAAATTTTCCCCCCTTCTGTTAAAAGAGGTACTCCACTGTCCGTATGGAAACTGATTCAACCAGAAAATATTCATTCATAGCCTTGTAGAACTTGTTTACTCAAATCAATATAATGAAAGATAATTATCTCATTACATTCTAGAAATAGATGTTATAACTCAAGGAAAATTACACACAAATTTCAGGTAAAGCTAACCTGGTTCCCTTGAGCAAGCAGGGCTTTTAATCGGGCTATTTCAGCTCTCAGCTCACGGATCAGTTTGACGTTAGGATCCTCATTAATAGTAGGCTTGTTGATGATGTTTTTGGCTCTATTTGCATAGCGAAGTGTACTTAAAGTTTCTCCATAATTTACATCAGCAGGTGAAATAGCTAAGGAGATGAAATCAGAAACTGTTTATCTAGCACCATATGTTTCATTTGGTAAAGTTAATTTATATTTTAAAAGTCAGATGAACTTAACGTGGATGAGGAGACAGAAACATGCGATTAACCAGTATGGCTATAATTTGTTTCAATTCTTCACCCAGCTCCACTGCTTTCACGTCACTATAACTTTGCTTAAGTAAACACTGTATTAGAATAATGTTAGAATAATCAGGTCCAACAATCAAGCATTGTAAAGAAATCTTGTTATCAAATCTATTTAACATTTACATTTCTCTGGTAAGCATAAATGTCCTGTATGAACACTTTACAGGCTTTCTTGCAAATTTTTTATATGAACAGCAGGTAAAAATGGCGAGTATTCTGTAAGTATCAACGAGATCATTGAACAGAAAAGTCACTTTAAGTAAAAACACAGTAGGTTCAGTCCAAGATTTGAAGATAAATTAAACACCACTCAAGCAAAAGCAGACATGAAAACCAAGAGAAGAGCTTCTATGATTTACAAACTTAGCTGTTCTGCTGAGCTGCAGACATCTGGCAGCATGCAGAACTGTTACTTATCTGATGCATGAAGAGAAACCAGTATTATATTTACAGGCAACTTTACCAGGAAAAACATTGGAGTTTCAATGAAAGTTTTAATGCTATCCTTCATATAATTTTCCTAACAACATACAAGATGTTCTGAATTAAAAAGACAATTACTGCTTCCAAATAAATGAGCAAAAACACAGAAGAAAACACCATGCAGAAATTATGAGGGGCCAGAAATCTTAATAATCAAACTGAACAAGGGACCCAGAGAATAAGACAGTGAAAACACCTGTAAAAATAATTAAGTAAACAAAATAGTCTGCCCTTCTTCATTCTCTCCACAATAATAAAAATTCCTTTTGTGGTAAAGACTCCTTGAATTAGAGGAGATGCACTTGGCAATGGACTATACTTCCCCTACCTCCCACTAACACTTCCCTAATTTATCTGCTGTTTCCTCTCCACTGTTCAATTATCCTCTTTCTGGAACTGTTACAATATGTTTTGACAAATCAGAATTGGATGTATTTTTGTAAGAGACCTTCCCTACAGTTTGAGATGATCTTCCTGTTTTTTTTGTGTTTAGTTACAGAAAAGGCAGGCCCAACATATCTGAACAGCTCGTCAGGTTCTGTTACGCAATTCAGCCACATTACCAGCAGAGTTACTGCTGGAGAAAAGATCAGCCATCAGGGCTTTACCAAGTAGAAGCATCATTAACAGATGAGGAAATAGCTGAAAAAGCAGCTGTGCACTGTAATCATTAGTATAGGCAGTGAAAGCTCGATGTGTTTCTAAAACTTTTCTTCCCAATTCCTCTGTCAAAAAACCCCCAAGTTACTCAACCATGTAACTGAAAGAAAGCATCAAGAAGATGCCAGCACAGTGTCACTTAAACAGCCAGAAAAACAAAGCAAAGTCCGGTCCAAGATCCTCTTTTAGTACTAGTATGAGGAAAGAAAGTGGCATGGATTCCAAAAACATCCCCTAAAGCATGCAAGTGAGGAACTGCTGTCCAGAGAAATTGATTATAGCAAAGTGACTGAAGAACCAGAATTTCATCCAATACATTTTATTCCTTCAATTCTGCTCTCCTACCATTCCCAACAGAGGACTGCATTGGTTAGACTCTATTTCATTTAAGCAAGAAAGAGCAAGAAAAATTTCAGAGCTGCTCTTCTCTTCACATCTTACTTCTCAAACATCCAAAATCCTTCCCTCCCCTTAAACATGCTCCCAGCTTCACTTGGGGTTTTTTGGGAACGGAACTCCCGTTCCAATTTGTTGAAAAACCTGCAATACATATGCCATATGTAGGTTTTTAAACCAACCAATCCTTACAGAGCTTCCTACGAGTAAAAAGGAAACTGTAAGAAAAGTTTGCAAAATGACTGATCATAAATAAATTTAGACAAAAAGTTAAAATGCTGTGTGCATTCAAAAAGTAGGTTAAATAAAAATGACAGTCTTACCCACTGAATCTCAAAAATAGACCAGGTTATTTCTGCTACTAATGCAACAAAAACAACACATAGTTCTGCAGCTGGAAGAGATGTTCAGCAGAGTGTAGGTAAAGGCAGAGCATTACTAGAAAACTCAGAAAGAAAGAAATCATCAGTACATGTAAACAATGTTCTGCCTTAACAAAGCATCTGGAATCTCATTATTTACAGCCACTTCTATTAAGCATGAACGGTTCTGGACGCAAAAAAGTAATTTTAGAACACTTACTGGCAATCATTATAGTTTTAGAGTTTCCTCCTAGGCTATCTTTTAACAGCCAAGTCAATACGGAGTCCCTGTAAGGCACAAATACTTGTTTCTTCTTTGAAAGAGGATTTGTTGCATCCTGAGATAAATCAGCTGTGATGTGGAGGTAGAAAAAAAAAATAGCAATTACATATTTTTATTCATTTTCAAAAATGGTATGTGTTAGGCCACTATTTGTGTAAGCAAAAATGAACAGAAGTGTAAGCAAATAAGCAGAAAGGTATTTAATGATTTTTAAAAACCCAAAACAGACAAGCACAGAAAACAGAGACTTACCTAAGGCAGAAATGACATTTCCCAGGGTAACTAGAGATTTGTTAATATTCCCTCCTTCCTTCAATCTAACTCCTGTGGCACCAGTAGCATCTGCTCTCTCACTTCCAGCAAGATCTACCAAGTGTATCTTGCTAACAGTCTCACAAGGCATTTCAGAATCAAATTTGGCCTACAGAAAAAAATACAAATAAAAGTGTGTTAAGTTACCAAATTCTGAAATTTTACTGAATCCAACTTAGCGGTCTTTTTGATGTCATGACTGAATTTAACTTGTTTACAATAGTAGAGCTTCAGAAACAGGTGTATTAGAGATGCCACAAAAAGGCATTTGATCATTAATTGCTGCATAACTCCCATGCAAGTATTTACTTCTTTAAATTACAGTGCTTTCAGCTTTCTAGCCATTTATGCACATGCACTGACTAATGCAAATTGGTATTTACATTATGCACAGTGAATATGTGCTGCATTAATTTTATTAGGCTCTCAACATTTAAAGCTATAGCATACATAGACACATTTACACTCAATTTCTTCCCCTGCCTGCAAGTTCAAGTAGCAATTGCAATTTTATTCTATGATTTTAACTGATGTTTTCTCCCAATTTTTACCTTAATTCACATGTCAACTCAGATTGCCCTGTTTCAAACTTCCTTCTACTTTTGCAGTACAACAGTAGAGCAAAAACCTTTTGCTACCTGTCTCTCATCCTCTTCTGAAAGTTTTGTGATGAGCAATTCATCATTGGTGAACAGCTGCAAGGGATTCTGTGTGTGTGTGTGTGTGTTTGGGGAGAGACACGCAAAGTTCTGTCAGTATAGTGAACCATCTCTATGCTACCTTCTGTTCATCTAGCAGGTTATCTGTGGACTGTTTAAAAAGCCCCCAAAAAACAATGATGAAGAGCAGGGATCATTACAAAAGGAGTTTACCACATACAAACAAAAAAATCACTATGCTCTGAGAAAACATGTTACACCTCTCCGTTATTCCATCAGTAAATCAAGGAATATATACAGGTTTCCAACAGTAACAGATGAAGAGTCAGCAAGAAAAAACTGAGAAAACACTTCTACACTCTACGATTTGGGCCATGGAGACAGGTTTTTCTGTAAACTTTGGATAACATCAGAGCATAAAAGTTAGCCCATCTTCAGCTCTGGCTGAAGTGTCACACAACATGCTCCTTATCCACTCCTGTCGCAGCGGCATCATGAAACACACCAGCACTGATCACTGTTATTCAGCCTGAACTCCCAACAATTATCTCCTCAAAAATCCGTTAAATATGATTTTAAGTAATCGCATTACACTGTAAATTTTCAAGATTATAATCACTGATAAACATGTTTGTAATTCTCAAAACAGTATTTTCACGCTTCTAACTTTCCCTATCACAAGACAACAACATAGTCATTATCTACCCATACATACTTATTTCATAACCTTATTTTTTAATTATCATATGATTTATAGAATATAAACACATACTAAGATGGCGGGGGGGGTGTTACCTGAGTGAAGTTGATCGTGAAAATGGCATGCGACCTGCTACTGACATCATTCATTCCAGTTGCAGCCGTCGTTCTGTTTATATTTCCTGCGTCCATAAGTTCCTCTACATCAGTATAATTCTGCACTAAATGTTTAGACAAATCTAAAGAAAAGCAGTATTACAGTATGCTCACACATGCACTTGATTTTCTTCTTACAAAAAGATTCAAATTACCCTCACTACTGCAAAGTATTGCTACAATCAGTGTTTATTGTCATACTTGTTTAGCACTTGTTTAGCATTTACAGAAAGGAACGAGGCCTCCTGTGAACAACAGAGAATTTTAGACATTTACAGTAAAATAAGAATAAAAAATGCAATCTTACTAAAGTATTTAGTACAATAACAGAAGCATAATCCCTCAAGAGACATGAAACTTCCCTGCCAGAGGGCAGATTAAGACAATTAGATCCTAATAGGTTCTTTCCGACTAAACATTAAAGATTCATAAATTACAGTCAACAAATTCTTAAAACCAACTGCATCTCTCAACATAATTTAAAAATGTGTTATAAATTTACAGATAAAAACTGTATAATAATCTTAGAATTGGGAAAGCAAGTGGGGATACAAAATGAGAGGCTCTTCTCCTTTAATGCTTTTATACCAAAAGGAAAGCACTGTATCCATCATCATTTATATTTTAAAATATAAAAATGCCCTGTGCAATTAGACATGACATTTTAGAATATATAACGGTAATAAAATATCAGCGCAAAACACTGAAAGTGTTTTTACCCTCAACATACGGCCCTTCTTTTGGATGTTCTCGTATTCGTAAATTATTAGTTTTTGATGACTTCCGTCTGAGAAGATCTCTCACACGTTCATTATAGATTTCCAGATAACTGAAAGAAAAAGATTAGAAAACCACTGACTGATTCAAGAGTTTTTAAAAAAAGGAAAGCCACTTTAACACTGTATTTGAAAGCAAGATGCCTCAAGAAGCAAATGGATCCAATGCTGGCTTCAGATAGTAATGACTACAGCATACTTATATCGTAAAGATAAATAGCCAAAATAGAGAGAAGTAAGTAGAAAGGAAGCAGACATTAGCAAGGATCAAGATCTGCTAATGTCAGCCTGAAATAAAAGGTAAAAATAAGGAAGATGATGTCCAGCAGCAAGGCCATTTTCATTACCATTTAAATAAAGCAAAATGCACAGCTGTTGGACTGATGTCAGAAGTATTGTGCATTTTGACTACAACTGCCAAGAAAAATCAATTATAGGACTGAGGCCAAGAATGCTAAGTTGTTTGAAAAACACAAGCTTTTCTCAGAAATAAAGTGAAATGGGGTGGTTGTAACTGAAATAAGTTTGATAACCAGCAAACTATTAACACGCCAAGACCTACCTGACTTCTGTTCGAAAGGATGCCTCATTCCGCTTTGTTTTTTCACTTATTTTGCTGAACAATCCTTCACAAATTCTAGGTATTAAACCTGCATCACCCTGCAATAAAAACAATTCTTATTTCCAAGGCTAAATATACATGCACAATATATTTTGAAAATTAAAACCCAGGATCACTACTTGAGAGTTCCAACATCCAGAGAAAGGGGAAAAAAAAAAATTCAAAGCTTCTCAGCAAATACTCTCTCGTCCTTTATTTAACTGCAGTCACCTAGCCACTTTGACCCTCACGGGTGTGTTGGAACATATATACGAGCTCAAAATCTTTGCTATTGGGACACATTTTGCCTCTCTCTTTTAGCTAGAACAATCTCCACTGTTTAAGGAATAAACTTGCTCCTCAGAGCAACACAGAATCATACAATCATAGAATCATAGAAAGCTTTGGGTCGGAAGGGACCCCTAGAGGTCATCTAGTCCAACCCCCCTGCAGCGAGCAGGGACACTGCTAACTAGATCAGGTTGCTCAGAGCCCTGTCCAACCTGGTCTTGAATGTTTCCAGGGATGGGGCCTCCACTGCCTCTCTGGGCAACCCGTTCCAGTGTTTCAC